TCACCTGCAGAACGCCGTGACTACAAAGCTGCCACAGAAGGCATCCCAATTAATGTGCCCATTAATTGGGTTGTTTAAAAAACAACGAAAACTAAAACATATGTCACTTACCCGAATGGCATTCATAAAACTGAAGTTTAATATAGCTCACAAGTTTCATAACCAAATCCATACGAGACACATTTTAATGAAACGCCAAAAGATTCAAACAAAAGATCCAATAAACCAAAATCAATATATATATATATATATATATATGTGTGTGTGTATAATTACACATTTGTGATCACATTTAGTTGATCAATCACCAGGTGCTGAACCAGATTTAGGAAGATTCAACTACAACAAATAGTTACCCAATAGTTAAAAGAAGTGAAATTCGTATCTTAGGCTAAATAGAGAAGTAAAGCACGATCAAATAGAATTCATGGTAAGGTTCGATTTGTTCGCGTGCCTAAATAATGCGCAAATCGATTATTACTTAAACGACGTAAAACAATATCCTAATTCTACTAATAAGTTAATTAAGTCCTACATGTTTATAAACAACTTAAATTTAAATAGGACAACCTAATATGCATTAAGAAATCGACTCAACACTTAGCTTTATGCAGTTTTGTTCCGGCTTTTAACAGCTTTTGACCATCATTTCGCGAGCATTTTTACCCCGCTTAGAGATCAATACAGAAGATACTATCTAAATGAAAGTTGTAGTATGGTATATGATGAATTTTCCAGTTTTGGCATCACCTCATTTGGATTATCCATCTATTTTATATGAATTTCACAAAACAACAGATTAATCCTGAATATTGTGCGAACAGCCCCAAAAACACACTGTTTTGAGTCACTTAAAATCATAAATGGATTTTCGACCCATCTTGAAAGTTGTAAATATACTAAATCATAAATGGATTTTCGCTACATTTACATGCTATAAATATACTTCAACATACTAAACAGTAAAACAAGTCCAATAATCGCTAACTTAAGCTTAATCATCTACTTTTACTTTTTTCGACATTATGTTGAACAATTGGTGTGCGGATAAACATATACCCATAATTTAACCATATTGAAACCATAACTATCTGTTTAGCGAAAATCCATTTATGTTTTTATTTTTGAATAAGATATATGTTTGAAGATATCATAAAAATTTGACCAAAATATATCAATATTAGTATCAAATTAACTATTTGAAATTCCTCATTTTTTGTGTAATTTTTT